TCTAAACCCCAAGCTTCGGTGGAGCTTGGAAAAACAAAAGGACAATGCTTTAAAGACCCGTCACAGGAGTCCTTTTGGCATCTTTCTTCCTTGGTACCTCAGCGCTTCCTCTGACGGAGCGCCTTATAGAAACCATGGTATTGGACTCTCATGATGACCCCCGGAAGAAGACATGTTATTTCACTATGGATTAGGAGACTGAAATGTGAACATTTACATGATTTGCCCTGTGTCACGTGGCTAGTCAAGAGTAAAGCCAAAGTCTGAGACAGTCACGGCTGACTCAAAACGGGAATCAGTCAGTGTGCTACAAACTTCCTTCTTGGATTCAGGACACGCATTCTCAGTGGTGGTTAGCCTGTCAGGTGGACATTGAATTAATTCTCTCTTCTCTCTCTCTATGTGTGTGTGTGTCTGTCTTTAATTTTAGTAATACAGGTGAGTACAGTACTATTTGCAATCATTCTTATTTGCACTTGACTAGTAAAAAACGGTTGTGACCCTTTGGATTTTCTTTCCTTCATGAAGTGCCTTTTCAGGTACCACTACATTGCACTTTCCTTCTGCTTTCCTTCTGAATAGACTCAGGCAATGTGCTTGCCCTGGCGCTGCAGGCACTTTCTGCCGTGCATCTTGTTTTAATACCCTGCCTACCTTCCTTCCCAAAACTGCTTGGCCGGAACATGTCAAAAAATTTGGAGCCCTGTCACCATCGTGCGGCTGTCGTGGCATTAGATAGAACTCAGGGTTTCACCTCTTTCTGCTCTCCTTAGGTTAGTCTGAAGTAAATTATGAACTTCATAGTAGTTCATCCATAAATATCTTGTCATGAACCACTGATCTAAGAAGTTTCTTCTATAACATGCTGTCATGATTCCATTACCACGTATTCAAAATCCTAGTGAATCAGATTCTTTAATGCACACAATATCCAGGCATGTAAATTTATCTCCAACATCTCATGTTATTTTTACATGTTTGTGATTGAAAACAGAATTTAAATGAGCCTCACACTCTACAACTCTCTGATAGAACTCTGTAGACTTTTAATATATGTTTCTCCCTTGCTTTCTTTCCCCTTCCTGCCATTTATTTAAGAACTAGTTCATTTGTCAGTCAGTTATTCACTAGTTTGGAGTTTGCTTATTTCATGTGCCATCGAACAAACTCCACACTCTGTCCCGTACAATATTATTAGTTACATCCGGAAGTTGATCAGACTTGTGTCACCCGACAGTGCTCCCTGAGTGGGAGCAAAGGTCGTTTCGGACATACCACGTCTGTATGCTTGCTTCCTTCTTTTGGTATCAGTATACTGAGAATCATTGCCCAGGTCCATCACCCTATCAGGTCCGAATTTCAACAGATCCACACATTTTCATAAATCTATTTTCACATAGATCCTTTTGGTTACCTAAAATTTTGAGTGATTTGTAATACAAAAAAGGGACTGGAAATAGAGATGTCTTTATTCCCCTTTTTTGTGATTCAGGCCACACACACACACACACACACACCCACACACACACCCACACACCCACACACCCATATATATGGAGCATATGTGTATTATGCATATTTATGTGAACTGACAGTTTGGCTTGGACGTTAGAAACATGATATTTGGTGTGTGAGGAACATGCTTCCAGCAATCGGCCAGCAGAAGAGATGGTGCTGGTTTTACAGGGGTTTGTTTAGAAAGATGCTAAAAGAGACAGCCTTTTCTATGTATGCATGTATTTACATCTGTTTTTAATAGTGGTCCCACAAGATAGTAAATGGCATTATGAAATAATCCTAAATTAGGAGGACTGAATACCAGGAATTAGGAAAAAGAGCAAATATTTTAATGTAGAAAATGGCCCACTTAATGTCTAGACTCACAGAAATAATCCAACTTATACAATGTTACAGGAATTAAGTGAGGCTTGATCATCTTACCCCGGGTCCTCTTTTTTGTTTATCTTCTTTAGGTGTATAGATTAGATTAAGTTTATCATACCTTATAGGACTATATGAGTGAGTATACTAAGTCATTTACTGTTATACTCCTGGCATCTAATGCACTGCCTGACACACAGTAGGTATAAATGAGTGAACAAATGTCCCCAAATTATTAAACTCTGAAGTCCTAGCCATGAAATAAAACCCCTAAAAAGGAGAAGAGGAAGCGAAGCCTGGACAGGCTGTCATTTCAAAAATCCCTGAAACATCTCTGAAGTTGCTTACGGAGAGTGTTGGACTGATACAGCCCACGTCTAGAAAGCTGTAAAACAAGTGGAGAACGACCAGAGCCAAGCTTGACCTGCTCCAGAGGACAGAGAATGACAGCCAGACTTACTGTTTGCATTCCTGTCTCTGCCTTTTGGTGAACAGTTTCCGTTTCAACCCAATTTCCTTTTTTAATTTACTCAGATATTTACATTTAATGATTTAACGCATCACACCAATCTGGCCTGTGGGGTGCCCCTGACATGCGCTTTTTAGATGAACCTCTACACGCTATCCACAAACCAACCAGACAGCACCCAATCCAGCAGGAGCCTCTCAGGTGAGAATTGAGGTTTCATTTCTCACCCCAGAAACAGCCTTCTTCCCAGACTGTTTAAACCAGTTCCCCCACCCCCTCATCTTCTGTAAACTTGTCCAGACATGGGGAGCATCATTAGGCCGGGTCTTGCAGTCATTCCGCTGCTTGCAAAGCAATCATTTATAGGCATTTGGTGTTTCGTCTGACATCTGTTTGATGCTGAAGCTCCAGCTTGGGTCTCAATGAATCACTTGTCAGAGCGGGCTGTGGCCTGGGAAGCTGGATTTCACACCTTTGGGAAGGCTGGCTGGGATGTAAGTGATCTTAGTTTTTTTTTTTTTTTTCCAAACATCCCCAGTGTCCACAAGGATGAAGGAAAATAATGGGGTGTGGGGGTATGCTGAGAACCTGATGGGTATTCAAGGCTTATTTTGTTCTGTCCCTAGAGGGCTTCCCCCCCCCCCCCGCCTCTGGGGGACACATAGCTCACTCATCTCCATGACTGGAATGCTGCTGTCCAAAGACCCTCATGGAAATGTTTGTGTAGAGTATTTTGAAAGCATAAGGCAGAGTACGAGATTTTTGAAAGGGGAACAAGGAACTCCTCCGTTCTTCGATAGTCTACATCAGATACCTTTTCCCCCCAAAGGTGCCATTCAGTGGCTGCATTCACGTTGTTCATGATGATCAAGAGCATCAGGAGATGGAGTCAGAATTTTGAGTGGGTTATAAACCTGGCTGAGCCCAAGGCAGTCAGTCTAAAAGTTCCATTCTACTTTCACAGGTACCCGTGACCTCACCAAGCACATATGCCAAGCTAGCAAGGCTTATGTGGTAAGCAAATTTGCTTTGAGAAGCGGAAGGCCAACAGTATTGTCTTGTAAAGTGATTATTCCCAGTGGCCCATGGAAATGCCTAAGAAAGGAAAAGAGGGAAGTTTGAGAACACTGTAGAGTACTGGCCCTTTGAAAGAGGGTCCCTGTTTCGCTCACCACTCACGAGACAGAGATGGGGTATATGAAAATGGGGTTGAAGTCCTGTGCACCTTACTTCAGTTTGTTGAAAAGCATGAAAGCTAGACACAGCACAAGCTAGAGAGCTCCTTCTTTGTTGACTTTGAAACCCTGCTTGGTGTCACAGTCACATAAAGAAGAGGTTGTCACAGAGAACCCCCCACGGTGGGAAGTTAAGATTCTCCAGGTCTGATGAGACAGTGGGGGAAAAGCTTTTCATGGAAGGTTTTTAATTGAAAGAGAGTTAGAACGGGGGGGGGGTGGAGAGGAGGTGAATGGATCTTCCATGTGATGCTGAGTCCCACTGGGGCTCTGTTTGCTTCTGAAATAGTGGGAGGGCGTGGGGATGGGCAGTGCCAAACCCCGGGCTCATCTGTCACTTCAGACATCTGAGATGGAAACATTTAGCCCAGAGATGCAAATCATTTAATCACACTGACTCAGTGCTGACCAAAAGTTGCGCACCCTTGGGAATCAGGAATTCCCCCACAAGATGTGGCAATACGTTTCACGGTCTAAACTCTGGATCCTCCTACCTAGGCTGCAGAACAAGGGAAGACAGGGAACCAATATCACACATTTTCTGTACAACAAAGACTTATCTTCCCTCCCTCATCTCAGACACTGAGATGAGGCCTCCCAAGAGGCTCCACTCACTCCCAACCCCATTACCCCACACATACATTTTCATTTTAGTCTGTTACTTTAGGTCAGGTTAATGGAAATGCCTCTAACACTGGATCAAACCAGCATGAATATTACATTTCCACTTGAGCCTGCAATCTGGACATGAAAACCCACCCATTTGCTTCAAAATCTTGCACTCTGTTCACATTTGCTTGGGAGGGCTGGATGGTAGGGTAGGTGGCAAGCTCAGAAGGAAGTGCTCTGAACTCTCTGGGCTTAGGTGGTGTGTGTTAGGATACTGTTATGCTTGGGAGAATCATGAGCAAGAGTTTGAATCTTCCCCCTTTTCCTCTCTCATGTTTTATCCGTCTGTTTTTAAATTTTACTTTCCCATTTTCACACTACATCTTCCTAAGTTCATTAAGACTATCCATGAATTCCCTAAGGGTGTCCAAAACTGCTGGAAGAAACAGTTTATTGCATTCAACTTGTAGAAAGTGGCGTTTGGGACAGATGACAGAAGACGCTCCTTTGATGGAGGGATGACACACCATATCATATCTCCAATCTCCTCACTCCCTTCAAAGGAGCAGCTGGTAGAAAAGCAAACTTCTGCTCAAGTAGAACCAACTGGAAAAGACACTTGGCTTTTTTTTTTTTTTTTCTTTTAAGGTTCTCACAATAGAGTCAGAAGAAACACATATTAATCATTTGTTTTGAAACAAGAGCAGCAGAAGTTATTTTGAAGACTTAAACAGGCAACACAAGGTAAACAGAAATCTGGGGCTTTCAAGTGCTAAGGCTGAAAGGAGCCAGTCTGGAAACACCAGTTCTACTAAGCATTTATTTTCATTGCAAGACAGTGGAAATCATAAAATCATAAACAGGGCAAGTTCTTCTTGCCTAGCAAATGTCCACATGAACCTGTCAACTTCTAAGTATAGAGTATATTTCACTAGAAAGACAGGGTGATATGGCAGTTATCCAGCAACCAATACTGTAAATACAGGAGATACAAAGTCTTATATAAATTAATTGCCAGTATAAAAAGAGGCAACTGTTTCAGCTAAGAAGGTACAAAAATGGGTCACTTCCATAAATATAACAAGAGGCTGACTGAAGAAATACACATCAGACTGTTTTTCTATATATTTGAATATGCAAACTAAGACACCTGTGGCACTTTACACAAAAGTAAGAACAAGATGCATAGCCCCTGCCCTTTCCTCTCCCCTCCCCCATGTAGGTTTCTCAAACACAGCAAATTCTAGGGTTACAGAATCCAGGGTGCCAAGAGGAAGCAGTAAGACAGCGCGCTCCGACCTGCTAGACAAAGAAAGAGCCTATTGACAGTTGTGAAGCATTAGGCGTCAGACAGAAACTTGTCAAAAACAGCTGTTGTTGGGCACTGATTGATAATGTTTTCATTCTGACGGCTGCGACGCTGCAGACAGTCTCCGGGCTGTGGAGAAGCCCATCACTGGCGCACATGAACACACACAGACAACGGGAAGTCATTTAACAGATGGCGAGGAGCACTCAGCCACAGGATCTTCAAAAGACAACATTCTCCATTTAATGAACTTGCAGGGAGAGCAAAGCTTGAAAACAAAATCATTTATTTGTTTACTTTCACAGGAGATGAGCACTAGAGGACAAAATAAAAACCGGGAATTGTGTAACTGGTCACTAGGATTAAAGGTCTGTGCTGTCCGTGGGTTCATCACGGATCCTTATCTGGTCTGTGTCCATGTATTTAAAAAGGCTTAAAGAAGTATGAGCTCGATTTTATTAAAATCCACTTACAAGATGAAATCACAAATACTTCATCTGGGCGCTGTGAGGGGTCTGAAGACTATCCCCTGGAGAGTCACAAGGTTCCCCGTCACCCTGTAATAAATATGGCACTGAGGCTGGGGCGTCTGCGTGCCAGTGCACGCTTACCTAAGGATGACAGACGTGTTAGTGTGTGGGTGGGTGGGTGTGAGGAGCAGTTTTCTATCATTTGGCCACTTAGTATTTTAGTAAGTGGTCAAAAGTCTACAAGATGTGCCAAAGGATATATTTCATTTATGAACCTCAATATTCATAGAGTATTCCTGGTTTAGAAAAGGTCAGAGGTGCTGAATCTTACTAAAACTGTACATTTATTCTATGCAATTTTATCATTTAAGTTAAGTGGAAAACTTTAGTTTCAAAGACTGAGTCTATTTGTTTGCTGTAGCCCAGCATACTCTAAGGGCACACTGACACCCCTGAAAATAGGGGTTTATAATAAAAATACTGACAGACCTTTAACTACTAAATGGAGGTCTGGCTAGACTCCCCTAGGCGACATTAGCACTTGATGAATAAATAAAAGGGTTCGTCTTTGAGCTTTATCAAATCCATGCCAGGTTAAATCTAAACTGTGAATTATGCTTTGGCCATGTTTGTTTGAAAAGTCATTTTCTTGATTTCATTCATACGTTTCTGATTTTTTTAGAAAAAAAAATGCTTATGTTGCAGCTGGGTTTTTATGCAGACTAGTGACTCCAACAGAAGTAGCTGAGGACTTGATCAACTGGGAATCAGTGATGCCTGCTCTTGCCTAAATTTGCTCCGACTCTCTCAACTAGGACTCTTTGCTCCTAAGGGAGGGGACAAGGCGGCAGGCCAAATCAAGCAATCCTTGCACATCTGCTCTCTCGGCTTTTCAGTGTCAGTTTCACGAAAAAAAAGATCGAGTGACGTTTTGGGTGGTCATTTTTCACTCATAGCCTACAAAGTCAATATCCACAAACACACAAAAATAATAATATGAAAAACAGACAAGATAAAATGTAAAAAACTCGAACCCCTAAGAGATGATGAAAATGGCAATGGCATACACATCGTATGGAGTCACAGTTACAATCCTCCAATCCCAAGCCCAGGGACAGCTAGTGAAGAGCTGGGAGTCTTTCCGAGATCTTCAGAAGGGGATTCGTCTCCGTGAGCCGTGAGTTCCATCCACTTTAGCATAAAGTACAGAAGAGATTCTCAGACCAACAGAAGGAAGAGACATGCGATGAAGGTAGTTAGTGGTAAACAGAGAATAAATTCTCTCTCAGTAGTGTGTACTTGCCGTTAATGCCGATGATAGTTCACCTGACTTACAGAATGGTCACTCTAACAGAGAGATGAGAGTCTGAAATAGCTAGAGGGAAACAGATACCAAAGCCATGACAGTCTTGATGGCAACATGGAATTAGAGTGGAAAGCTAACATGACGGGTTCAAGGCTTTTGGGGAACTCTATGTCGGCTTTCACATTCTCATCGCCTCATGCTCTTTTTCTTCTAACGAGTTTATGAGCTGGGAGAAGCTGTCTTTCAGGGCATCCACGTCATCTAGAGAGCAGGGCTGCAGGATCCAGCGTTTTCCACGTGCAAGTGGTTCAAGCTCAAAGTATTTTTTGATCTGAAGAGGAAAGAAAAGAGAGATTTTAATAATTACATCAGGACTTTTTTTCTTCTGGGATCCTAAGGGATGAAGCAGGGGTTTTAAGTGGAATTTATATAAACAGTCATGTCTAGGCATTTCTAAGACTTTCTGTCCACAGCTGTTGCTTTCACGGGGTTGAGTACTGTAACATGGGAGTGTTTTCTTGAGGTGAGGGTGATCTGCTTGCAAGCCGCCATTCTGACTTCACACTCAACTGCATGGGAGTTATTAAGAAGTCTGAGAGAATTACATGTACCATGGTGCAGGGAGAAACACAATAGAATACTAGAAAGATTCCATTTACTCTAGTCACTACTAGCAACGTAATGTTGCCATCTCCCCCTTGTAGGATTACTAAACTGCGGAAAAAGTATAGATCCTATAACCCATGTAAGACAGTTATCTTACACACATAAAAAAGAAAAACAAAACAAAACAAAAAACCCAGTGTCAGTGATCTCACTTTTTGCTCCCTTAATTTCTAGTGGACATTTCTGAGAGCAAGGAAAGGATCTTCTAGAAGAGGGAATAGGATCTAAAGGTACAGGTGTTTGCAGTCACACACAAATTTAGATAAACTGAAAGATTTACACATATGCACAGTCTCTCAGGTCAGCTCCCCTCCCCCGCCCTGGATTTGCTGGGAAGGAAAGACCTAACCCTGACTGAATCAGTTTCTCCCTGCTCCGGCTAGAAGAAGCAGGGGTACTCTGCTCTGAAGGCATGGGTAAGGTAAAGAAGTCTTTTGGTTTCTCACTCATTCATACACAGTAGGCCAAAGTAAAACTTTGTGCTTATCACCAACCAAGGTTTCCTGGAAACCTTTCGCCACTCCCAAATGTTCCATTCTGCCACCACAGAGGCCAGACTACCAGCACAACCATACTGTCTGAACTAGCTCACACGAGCAAGAAGATGTATCCAAGAACACAAAGGGCTTTGTCTTTGGTATTGGTCTTTTGTTTGCTTTTGCTTTTCAAAATAGGGCCTCACTATGTATCCCTGGCTGGCCTGGAAGTCCTCAAATTTGTGGCCAATCCTCCTGCCTCTGACTCCTGAGTACTGGAATTACAGGTGTGTACCACCATATCTGACTCAGAAATATCAAATGTTGTACTAACTTAGAAATGAAAATAATACTAAAAATGTGTAGTTCAAGAGTATCTCTACAAGTCCTCTCATAAAGGCTGCTCATGATGGCACACACCTTTGCTTTGGCACTTGGGAGGTAGAGGCGGGCTGATCTCTATGAGTTGAATTTTAGGCCAGTCGGGGCAACACAGGGAGACCCTCTCAAAAACCCACACACATGAAAGTCCTCTTACACATCGTGCATACTGACAATAAATGACCCCCTCTCACTCTTTTAAAGAACCCTATGAGAACTGATGGGCCCTCTTAATTTGAATCCTTAGAGTAATGACAATTTATTTTATCCACAGATCAGGAAATGATGGCTCAGAACTGTTCTCAGGCGAGAACAGTTTTTCATTCAAATTATTGAACAAATCATTTAAAGAGGATACTTACTTATTGACACAAAAGTAAGAGCAGGGGAGATGGCTGAGCTGGTAGCGTGCTGGTGGTGATGTGTGGAGAGCAGCATGTGGACGCCCAGAGCCCGTGTAAATGCTGGGTGGGAGTGGTAACCTCTGATTCCAGCACCCTCAGAAGACTACCAAAGGGGACCCTAGAGCAAACTGGCTAGCTAGTTCTGGGCTCAACTCTAAGATCCTGCCTCAATGAATAAGATGGAGAACAGCTGAGAAAGACCCCCACCCAGTGTCGGACATGGTCCCACTAGTGCCACAGGCACGTATGTACAGATGTATGTGAAAATTAAAAACCAAAACCCAAACACCCCAAAACTCCAAACCAAAGAGCCCTCCCACCCCAACTGCATTCTCAGTTTTTTTTTTTTTTTCTGGATCTTGAAAACAATTCACCTCCAAGAGCCTTAAGTGGCTTTGTGTGGTAACCACCGATGACAGTGGCTAATCCTGGTCACAGAGGGAATTGCTGACAGGGGGAGCCCTTGGTTAGCAGGTGGGTAAGGAGCTGTGGAAGGGACAGGCAGGGGATACGGTAGGTAGATGCCACAGCTAGGAAGAGTGGGTTTCCCCAAAGGCATAAGTCAAAGCTGCTTGTCTCGCTTCTCCCACTTTAGATTTGACCAACAATCCTAGGAGTTGGGATGGCTATGCTCCTAACGCAATCTGGTGTTTGACCGATAATGCTTCCTACCAGATGCTGGTCAACATGATAGTCAAGGTCTGGTGCCCAGAGTAAGCTGTGCCGTCGACACTCTATAACCTTATTTCAAAATGGCAGCACTGTAAATAATTCTAACTAGGGCCAGGCAGTGGTGGTGCACACCTTTAATCCCAGCACTCGGAAGTTTGAGGCTAGCAAGTTTGAGTTGAGGCCAGCTAGGATGACACAACCAGAGACCCTGTCTCAAAAAAGAAAGGCAAAACAAAACAACCCCCAAACCAAGCCAAACCAAACCACACCACACAGATTAATCTTAACAGCAGAATTCCAGCTAATTTGCCAACAATGTGGTGTTTAATAATTTCACATGACTGACAGACAAAAACAAAAGAAAACAAAAAAACAAAAAACAAAACAAAAAAAAAACCAAAAAAAAAAAAATCAGAAAGTCCTTGCTCGTTTATCATCTGGAAGAGAAAAAGGTATGTATGTAAAGGTAGGCTTCACTGAACCCCAAACATAAGAAAATGGAAGCCGTGAAGACAGAGTGGCCACCAGACAGAGGAACCAGGCGGTGTTAAGCTGACAAACATTGTGGAGTAACTTGAGATTTTCAGCTCCTTAACCTAACTGGGCACCTAACCGTGCCACAGTCCCCCAGCTGGTATTCGAAGGATTCCATACACTTTACAATATAAATCTTAAAACAGGATTTCGATCCCCAGATGCTAAATACCATGAGTTTCTCTGCTGCCAAAACATAGCTTCTCACGAGCAGGGTTTTGTGTTCTCAACATGATGATTGCGGGCCAACAGGCAGGGTGAAGGTTGACTGCTCAGATTCTAAACAGAGTCATCGCCAATTTTGTTTTCCCATACTAACTGGGCGTCAGGCTTAACTTCCCCAGCGTCATCACAATAAAACTACAGTCCTTTCGACTTATTATCAGCATGATTGATTTTTATTTTAATATGTTGATGATCATTTTAAGCTAAAGGTTGGCTGATACGAAAGACGTACTTAAGCCCATTTCCTTTAAAATGTAGAGAAGTGCCTCTGATGTAAGGCCCTTTGTTCAAGATTGTTTTCTTATGAAGAGACAAGTTATAAATATGAGCCTAAGTCTTTTGAAACACTTCATTGCTGCGTACATGTCATGGTTAGTTGGAAAGTGCTAGCGGAAGGAGATGGCATTTGGGGGAATGACATCAGAATGCAGCTGCCTGGCAGCCTGTGGTCACTTAGCTATTTTCGGGATAGTCACAGAATGGGCATTCGGCAGTAGCCATGTGTCCATCCTAGAGATAGAAAAACAAAGCCACTGAAAGCAGCCAGCCTGTTTTAGCTATGTCATCAGGACCCTACTCCCATGCTCGGGAGGTGATTGGCATGACTAAATTCCACCGTTCACACGTCGAACCCACCGCGAGGTCTTTTTATAACAGAAGACACGGTGGCTCCGCTGCTGCTAATGGCTGTAGCAGCTGTTAAACTCACAGCACACATCACAGGAACCCTTTTCCCAGGACTGGGCCTGGTCTCCACCTTTCCTTAGGTAGTGAAACCCTAAGACTTTCCTGGTTCTAGGGGGACAAATGTGACTGTGATGATGTTCTCTGGGTTACTCACCCTCATTTGCTTTAAAATGTTTTTCTTTCAGTTTCTCTGATCAAATTTTTAAAGGCGTACGTAGTTCCTAACTCTACTCACTGGCCTTTCTTTAACACCTGCGAGCTTCCTTTTATTTACAGTGATAAACCATCTGCTTCCTGTTTTTGTTATTAAGCTTTGTAAGTGGCATGTGCCCAGGGGTGACCTAGTTTTCTTTGGTATACTTTGCGAAGCCAAGGGTGAGATACTAGAGCGGGGTTTGTGTTTTATGGGAAACAAATTTAGGTTCTAAGGTTGGATGTTTCCAAACAGGGCCCTGACCCACATGAATGTGTGGTAAGACATTAAAGATCAAGTCAAGGAGCAACAGTGTATCACGCGGGACTGACCACTGTTCTATGTCATCTCTCATTCCAGACAATTAAATGCCACAAGCACCAGTTGATAATTGCTAAAGCGAAAGATGCTGTACCCTGTCTCTGATGCCTAACTCATCATCTGGGTGGGCCTGGCCTGTTGAGAACCGTCTGCCTGGCCCCTGTGGTGCGTTACACACCTTCCTGGGGCCATTGATAGAAGCTGGGTAATTCCTTCTCTGGTGCTTCCACAGCATCACACTTCCACTGTGAAATACCAGCCGACTCTAAGTGGCTTTTCTTAAGTCTGTGGATGGTTGTGACGGCTGATAGTAGTGGGGTCTGAAGCATTCTATGGAACATTGGTAACTCAGATCCTATAGGACGGTTTCCTTTAACTTCATCCATACCATCCGTTGTGCAAAAGGCTATACCGACTGTGCAAGGGTAGCGGAGGTGTGCCATGACGAGGTACCCATGCTAGCGTGCTGTCTGCAGTGACTGAGGACACAGAATGGAAGTCTGTAAAACTGTGAGGCAGGACCCCAAGCAGAAGCAGCAACAGCCTGGCAAGAGTACTGTTTTTAGGACTTTTAGACCTACAGGACTACAGGCTACTGCCCAAGGCCTGGGCTTTTCAGAAGCAAGAAAAACAGCTGATTCAAACAGAAGGCAAAATGGTTATTTTGATTAGCTCTCACATTATGAGAAAACGATGTTCTGTTGGTTGGGGGCCTGCTAAAGAGACTTCAGAAATAAGAGCACATCTTGTCTGTGTACTGGCATATCCTTCT